AACTTGTCATCGGATTCATAATGATTCATCCAACTTGTCATCGGGTTCATAGAACTTGTCATCGATAAATTGTAAGATTAACATTGGGTGGGGTGGGGGGGGTATGGCAGTGGCAAGAAAATGCCGCGTAGGAAACATGGGATGCCATCCTGATGCCTTTCTTGAGATAGACAAAGACAATTCGTGGCCATCTGTGTGAAAGTGTGAACATGCTGCGGGCAGCAGCGAAAAACCAGGCTTGAAGCTCCATTTGCAAGCTGTTTTCAATCATGAAGCGCGCGCCGAACCACCCGATCGGCGCGTTGTTCTTTTACTAGGATAGTATAGTACCTCTACAACTTGGTGGGGAATTCGGAATGTTCATAACTGGAGGCTCTCACTCGCGACCAGCTCGGAGTTGGCAGGCCAAAAGACTTCCTGAATTTGCTGCTTAGAGTAGGGTGTTTAAGTGAAGAACAATGATGGAAAGAAAAGCTTTTTTTGTTTTTCGATCGATGCCAGTGAGCGATATGAAGTGATGTTTGAAATGCAGGAAGGCCAGCCAGGCTGAGGCGAACGAGAGGGAAGGCCCGATGAGTTGATTGAGCGATCCTAGATTCTCTGAGATTTGATTGGGAACTCTCGAAAGCATCGAGCCCAGTTGAGTCAACACTTTCTCCCGTCCAGACCTCGGCTTTGAAACGGGTTGACTTTCATCTTCGCAATCTCTGTGAGGCTTCGCTTTTCCAAAGACGTCAAGACAAAGACGTGCTTCCAGGTTCGGTCCTCAAAGAGCTGGTGCAGCCCTTCACCAAGGCTCGAAGAGAAAAAACAGACTTAGCGAGACATCCGAGATCCGTGAAAACCTTTCTTGAGACCTCTTTGAGGCGGCTTTGGACGAATTCGCACGGAAGTACCTCTCAGGCTGAGCTTTATTTCAATGTATATATATATACTTGAACGATCTGAATCTGATGAAGAAGAAAACTGGCAACTATCTGCAAGGCCAATGAACAACTTACAGTCGCTTGCTCGATCGCCTCATGATGCTCTTGAAGGTCAATGTGGAGTCTGCTCCAATCATCATCACTAATCATCAAGTTCCCTAAAATCTAGGAACTAAATCACTAGTGCGAGCGCTGGAACCCCCTTGAAGAAGCGTGAGCTATCCTGCATCCAGTTACTAGAGCGTCCAGTACTTAATAGCTACTTTATAGCACTAGCTACCTCTTCCTCATAGCAGCCTTACCCCCCTACACCCCCCTAGCGAGCCAAAAAAAGGCTTTTTCAATGTAGATTCTTTTTCCGCTTCCATGGTCACACTTAGGCACCGACCAGAACATACTTCAGCAGTCCTGGCTCTCTGAGGGAGGTGGCGCGTGACATGAGGGTTCCAAGCACATCCGGTCCAAGCGTCTAAAGTGACGCTTTCAGTATTGAATGAATATTCAAGAATGTGGTTATGCTTCTGACATGTGATGAATCAAATTGCAGTGATTCCAAGTGATTCGATAAGGCTTTTGGTTATCCTGGTTTCCAAACACAGTGCGCCGCATCTCTTGCGCTTGGAGGTGCCACATACCAACCAATGTCTCCGACCTAAAAGGTTTCACATTTTGCGCCCGACACCACAGGAAGCTATGCGCATATGTGAATGTATAGAACACATTTTGCACTTCAGACTTCAGACGTCTCAAGCAGGACATCTATGAAGAGGACGATGAAAGCTCTGAGCTGGGCAGTGAAGACAGATTTTATAACATCTTCAACAGATCTTCCTGCATACAACGGCTTGCATCGATCACGATACGTTCCAACTGAGGCTTCCTTCGCTTGAGGCCCGCTGTTCCTTTCGTGCTTGATCGTGAATATCAAATTCTCCGATGGTAGGCCTGGCGATTTACCAGGGCCTCCCGGATGCCTGCGGCTTGGATTTTGAGGTCAAATGTCGAGGGATCAAACCTTGGGCCACCTATTTTTGCATACCCTGCCGACGTTTGGACCGTTGATTGGTCCTGCCTTTCAGGCAATGCGTTTGAGATAGAAGCTTCCAATCAGGACTGGCCAATGCACTGCAGATGTTGGACAGGTCAGTTGGCTTTGCAGTTGTGTAATGCAGCCAGGCGCAAAGCGGAACTGCCAGGGCCTTCCAAGGCACACTTGAACTTTCGCAAAAGCAAAGCGATTACTAATGCACCATGCAGCAGAAAGTTTGTGTTCACACTTGCCACAGGCGGCGCACCTGGAAGAACTCTCCAAGCCTGTATTCAACCACAGTGCAAGAGTGAAAAAAGCTTGGCAGCCGGACGACACAGCCAGCAATCACAGAGAGAGCAAGCTGAATCCCCACTCAAGCAAGGCTTCGATGCTGGATCTGCAGCTATCAATCCCCATCATGCTAGAGCCAGACCTGGTGGAGAAGGTGGTTTTGATGGCTCAGAGTCATTGCTTTCGCAGCAAGATCCAGAAAAGCATGAAGAACAAGATCAGTTTGATTTGGGAGCAAGAAGTCACAGAGTTGTCGGCAGTGGAAGTTGGAGAGGAAAAGGAACAGAAGCCCGCCATGAATCCCTTTCGCTTTCTGTTGACAAGAAGGGACATGCGAAGGAAAGCAGCG